ATTAATTGTTTTAGTAAAATGTGGAAAATCAGTTGGAAGTGACCATGACAAAAACTAATCTCGTCTTGAACAACGTTGGGTTAGTAACAGTAAGGTTTCCATTATTCAAGGAGTGAGATTCTTGAACAGTTTTCCAAAATAAGTACAAAGTAATTGAAGCAGATTGAGGGTGGAGTTTGTTCAATTTGTGAAGGGGATTATAGGAGTTCTTATTGCCTGCAGTAACAGGAAACTGGAACGGTATAGGAGAACCTCATAAAATCTGTTATTTCTACCTTTGCTCTCCTTTTATTTTGCAAAATTTTATGTACGTTCTTTTCCTTGTCCTTTCCAACAATTCAGTATTTTCTTAAAGACATCAGGAACTTTTGCAAGACAGTGAAAGGTGCAGCAAAGGACTACAGGAAATCACTATTAAAACACACAGAATAATTTTCCTCATTTTCTAGACTTGCCTGATTTCAAACTCTGGAGTGGTACTCTGGGGCTGTTTCCATTGCAGCACATGAGGTGATTACATTTGGATTTGTTTCTTGGAGAAGACCCAGAAAATGAACTCTAATGGAAAGTCCTGCAATCACGATACCCCCGAGACTTTATTAACAGGCACCATGACATCACTGCTCACTTAAAGGTCAGTTCATCCTTTCTTTTTTGTAGACTGCTGTGGGGGTGAAGACATACAAACAAACCTGTCTTGTTGGCTGACTGGTTTTCAGGGCCTATAGACATGGGTGGAAAGAGTGGGCAATATCACTCTGTCTCAAAGCAGTAAGTATTTTACCACCTGTACATAAGTAGTTCAAACCATGGGAGCCATTCAGGGGAAGGGTTTGCACTGAAAAATTAGTGAGAAACTAGAAGAAAACTGGACAAGTGAGTGTGTAAGTGGTTCTGTTTGTTGCCTTCTAGCAGAAAAGTAACTCAAACCATGTTTTTTGCATCTGTAATTAAAAAAAAAAAAAGAGCAAAAAAAACCCTCAAAAATTTCTAGTCTAATTTTAGTATTCCTAAACTTCCTTTCTTTCTCTTACTCCTATTTTAAGATCTTGGTGCATTTAAAAGGTTCAGGTTTTGTTTTGGTTTATTTTGTGCTGTTTTGTTTTGAATCACAACTTTTCTTGCCTATGTCTATAGACCTGCTCTAGTTAGGTTTGCTAGGATGGTAGTATTGTCCTGTTCCAGGGTCTTTTAGAGTAAACCTATATCTGAAGAGATTGTAACTGGTACACAAAAGTCTGCCTGCATATTCAGGGAGTGATACAACATCTCGTGTTTGTCAGTGAGCATTAAGTGAAGTCTAGTGATCTCAATGCAAATAGCAACAAGTTTAACTATTTCTCTCATGACCAGAGTATGTAGAGTATAAACACCTGTAATGACTAGCATTGTTTTCTCTGACTGGTAACTGTGCTCCACCAAGGAAAAAGCAAGCCTAGTTGGGCATCTGAGGCCATCCAGTGAAACGATGGGACTTTTCTGAGCTGACACAGGAAGGATACAGGAGGAACGGTTTCACCATACGTCTGCCCAAACTATGGTGTATAACACCTTGTTTCACTCCTTAGGGTGAGGCAGGCTGGTTTGCTGAAGGTTTGTCCACCAACCACAGATATTATGTCTGAAAAAACACCATACCAGTTTTAACTCCCCGAGAGTTATAGAATCATAGAATAATTTGGGTTGGAAAAGTCATCTAGTCCAACTCCTCTGCAATGAATAGGGACAAGAGAAAGAAACAGCAGAGAATTTGAACTCAGCTCAAGAAAACTAGTATAACACCAAGTTTGGATTGATTGTTTTCTTGTAGGTGTTTTGGTCAATCTGAATTTTCAAGAGCTGATTATAAAGATGTTTAAATGTTAGTATGAGCTGAGCAGACCACCTGACTACACAAGTGATTATATGACAGTCACAAGTATTAAGATGCAGGACACCATCTCTGCTGAAGGAAGAAGAAAAAAGATTCAAGTAGGCCATAAACAGGTCCTGAGAGGTGGAGAGATATTAAAAATATATACCATAAAAAGGAAAATTCTCCCTTCTGTATGTTTACATCCAGCTGCCTGAACTTGACATGAGGTCTTTCCTGAGGCCTTCAACACTTAGTAATAAAAAATATCATCAACAAAAAAAATATTTCATGAGCAGAAAATATTTCAAGAAGTATTACAAAGTTTTAGGACTTTTGGAAATAGACAGTAATTTTAGTGGGGTTTTTTTATTTTTTTAGGCCTGGACAAAGACTTTCAAATATTGAGATGTGATGTTTTAAATAATCTCAGGACATATTTCAGTCTTCATGTCTGAATTCTGTTCTTTTTTTGACCGTATTTGTAAATACAGTATGAAAACAACATTTCTAAGAATTTCTAAGAATTATTATTTACTTCATATTAAGAAATAAACTGGAATCAAAGTGTTCTCCAGTTTTTTGGTATGGACTGGGCTGAGGAATGTTTTTGACTTTGTCTGGAGTTCTGCCTAAAACTGGATAACACAGTGGAAGTCCAGAATTGCCAGGTGTTGTATGCCTGGAAATATTTCAAGAAAAACATCTGGAATTTCATCTTCAAGGGGAACAATGCACTGGAAGCTGTGCTGAGTTGTCCAAAATCACACAACCTCTCAGAGTAAAACCAGGAGGAAAACCAGCCTTCCTAAGCCCATCATTACATTCAATTTGCATTTTCATTCTTACCAGTCGGTCACCCAGAGAGCCAAAAGTCTTCCTGAAAAGAAACAATAACTGAAGCCAGAAGAAATTCAGATTTTGGCTCAAAACCATTTCAACTAATAAAGAGATATAAGTAACTTATGATTTAAAATGTATCAGTAGCTAAAGATCTGATTTATTGTTTAAAGAACAAGATATTGGTGTCTTTCTAAGCATAAACACTAATCCTTTTCCCCCACTTACTTTTATTTGATTTCTTATTTAGGCTGCTCCATCTGTAAGGTATCATACATAGTAAATCCCTGTTGCTGTTGCTCTTCTCTGATCTCTGTACAGCTGTGTGCTGCGAGACAGTTCTTTGGGCAGGGACCAGTCTGACATACTGTAGATGCTCTTGCACAAAAAAAAATAGAGCAGGCTTGAATGATAGACTTTTCAGTCTCCTGTATCCATAGAGGCTGTATTTTTAAAGCTATCCAAAGAGACTCTATATCCAGCTCAGACTGCAATTACTGGAATTACTGCTTTAAAATTGGATGCTTTTGAACATTTCAGGTGGATTATATAATCTTCCAATATAAATTGCTTTTCTGTGTGACAGTGTTTGTCTTATCTCACTCCTCTTTTGTCATGAGCAGGTTTTCTAGTTCTCATAATGTTGCTTAAACAGTTTTGCAAGCAACTTGCACAAGACATCTCTGTACTGTTTTTGTTATCCTGGATTAAAAAGGCTATGGGAGATCTTGTATTGTAGGTGATAGAAATGTAAGAGTTACTGTTCCACTAATCCCTTGTTTCATGGAATTTCTGTTTCAAACCCACCTGGCAGGACTAGGATGAAGGTCAGAGACTCAGAAACAATTTTACCGACTTAAGGTTTTATGCCAAATCCTAAAGACTGCATGTTTGCAGGCAACTGGCAAAAAGTCTCTTTTAGATTTTTGGGGGGATTGTTTTTTGGTTTTTTGAATCAATAAATAACAATCCATGTGCCATTCTATTCTATTGGCAATGAAATTACTAGCCTCATTCTGTACTGCAGGGGGACTCAAACTAACAAATTTACTACACTCTTTTTTTTTTTCAGCATTTGTCCTTGACAGCAATTGTTCCAGTTCCATTTAAGGGAACTTGATCTACAAAAGTAGTCTCAGAATTTAAATATTTACCGTGGAATTTAGAGTTACTGGAGGGGTCTGAATACTCGATTCCCATTGACACTGAGGAGCATCTCAGAGTTAGTGAAGAACAGAAATCACTAGGGTTCTTTTACAGGAATATATCTATAATAAATTGCACTGAAAATGTATAAAACCATCATATTTTATTAATAAAATCCAGTTATAAAAAAAAGGTAAAAAAGCTATATAACCAGAAAATACAGATGTGGGGGTTATTTTGTTTTGTTTTTTGGTGGCGGTTTGGCTTTTTTTAGTGGAAATCTGTTAGAGCAAAACATTACCTAAAACTTTAATATTCTTGAAAGTGAAGAAATTGTCACTTTGTGAGCTTAAGTACCCTAGGAAATCTCACCTTTAACACTGCCTTAGCAGATGGTGAGGGAATAAAAGTCTGCAATGTATATGCGATTTTTTTAATGCTTAATAAGGAGTGGACAAGTGCATTGTTGTAATGTGATTATATGAAGTATAGATGGGATTTAAGTCTTAGGTTTGCTTTATGAACTGACTATTATAAGTTTTGGAAAACATTATTTTTAAAAAATCTTTAGTAGTTTGGATTTATGACAACTACTTTCTGTGCCACTGTGTTTTAATGTTGGGGGCCACAGAGAAAAAAATCTGGATCAAAAAGAGGCTTTTAAAACTGAGTAAGACAAGACATTCCTCTGGTGAAGAATATCACCCTGGTCAGATCCCACAGCTGAGCAGATCACATGTGCACTTGCTACTGCATTTTAGTCAAAGACCTACTTTTTAAAATGTATTAGCTGGTCTACTTAGGCTGAATAACTTAGTGACTGCTTCCATTGATCAGCTCCTCAGTAACATGCAGAGGGGACAGGAACCTCTAGCTGGAGGCAGTGACAGGCAGCTGAGGCAAGTAGGAGGAGAGCAACCTCTTCAGCCAGTGTTGGACTTGAATGAAGAGGTAAAGCTTTTAGTGATTTACTAGCAAGTTAGCTGGGAAGAGAAACAAAAACATACTCTGCTTATACTAGAAAATAGGTGACTGTCAGTGCTTTTGTGCACACAAGGCATTTTTCAGTTTGAACTCAGTCTGAAATATGTGACTCAGTCCAGTAGTTCCAAACAAGACCATTAAAAACTGCTTTATTTATTCATTTTATTTTCTTCCCCAGATCATATAAACACTTGTGTTTAAAAATCAGAGCCCTTCTTTTTCCTTGTGCTTTCTCCTTCCAGCATCACATCAGTGACCTGATTTTCAGAGGAACAGCTCTCAAAGTCCACAGGAGGTACTCAGTATGTCTGAAAATCAAGCCATAAATAGACACGAATCTTTCTTTCTTTTTTCCTCCAGGAACTGAACTGCCAAGTCTCAGCAAACAGCCAAAGAAACCCAGCTTGTTCACAAATGCTAATTTAAAGCTGCATGTGTTTTTGCATAGGCTGCATTGGACTGATTAAATTTGAGTCACAATAAAAGAGAAATTTATTTTTCTAAAAGGAATCTTTAAATTCTTGGAGGTTTGGGAGGGGGAAAAAAGGCTGTCATTTGGGAGATCTCCATCTGCGGGGTCTGTGAGTAATCTTGGAGCGGAAGCAAAGAGGAAATCCCCCACACCACTTAATGAAATGCTGTTGTGGGATAATCACTGCCAAAGAAACTCATCAGTTCAGACTTTGAGCATCTTTGTCTGGTAAAGTGTCTGAATTGAGCAAGAAAAACATGCATTTCCTGTGCTGGGGGGCTTTTTTTCCCATATTAAGATCCAGATTGTTATTCTGTAGGAAATGGTATCATTCATATCGGGAAAAGCAGGGGATAGAACCAGGGTTTATTATGACTCCTTTCTCAATGAATTGACTTTCTGTTTGTTTTGAAGATCTTGAGAACAAGAAACTATTTCCTAGCACAAGAGAAGTTAACAGTCACACTGTCATGTTCCTCTCATGTATCTTTTTAAATCTTTTTTTTCTCAGATCAAAACACTGTCATGTGCAAAGCAGCTATGGAAAAACTGTAATGGAGGGAGAAAATTCCTATCTTAGATCCTCGTTAAATTCACAGGCAGAAGAAAGAGAAGTCATTTATAGTCAGGGAAAAGGAACTTTAGAATTCTTCCAAAGAGAAGGCATTGCTAAGTTCAAATCAAGACACTGGTGTTTCTCTAAGGTGTCACAGGTCCAACAAACTAGATCCCCAGATTTATTTACCTGAAACAGTAGAGTACAGATATGTTCCAGATCAAGCTAGCTCTACTCTACTTTCATTTAGTAAATGATTCATAAATTGTCCCAGATATTACATGAACCGTTACATGGTTAATTTTAACAATTCCTCTCTTGCATATAAATCAGTATAACTCCACTGTCCACAACAGGCTAAGGCAAAATAAAGGGATACATTCCTCAGTGTAAGAAGAGGGAGTAGAAAACCCAAAGGGATAATTGAATGTATCATTAGCAAGCTGGGTGATGATACTAAACTGGGAAGTATTTCCCCTTGCAGAGGGTTATAGATAGGTTGGAGTTTTGACCAATGATTAATGGGATCAAATTTAACAAGATCAAATGTCATATTCTGCATCTGGGATGCAGTAACACCAGGCATAAATATAAACTGGGAGACCAGTGACTGGAGATCAGCCCTGCAGAAAGGGATCTGGGCAGCAGCTCAACAGGAGCCAGCAGTGTGCCCTGGCAGCCCAGAGGGCAAACCCCATCCTAGGGTACATCAAACACAGCACAACCAGCTGGACAAAAGAGAGGATTATTCCACTGTGTTCAGTGTTGGTGTGGCCTCAGCTGGAGCCCTCTGTGCAGTGCTGGGACCCACCTGTTAAGAAGGATGTGACTGCCCTTGAATGCATCCCAAGGAGCACAACAAAGCTGGTCACAGGGCTGGAAGGCACATCCTGTGAGGAACACTTGAGGGCTCTGGGCTTGTCTAGTTTGGACAAGAGGAGGCTGAAGGACGATCTCATTGCTCTCCACAGCTCCCTGAGGAGGGGAAGGGAAGAGAGAGGTACTGAGTGTTTCTCACTGGGCTTTAGTGATCTTTACCAAGAGGGTGGTTAAACAACACAACAGGGCTTCTAGAGAGGTGCTTGACACCCCAAGCCTCTCAGGGTTTAAGAGGCATTTTGACAACGTCCTTAATAACATGCTTTAACTTCTGGTCATCCCTGAAGTGGTCAGGTAGTTGGACTAGGTGGTCATTGTAACTCCCTTCCAACTGAAATTATTCTAGTCTAGTCTAGTCTAGTCTAGTCTATTCTCTCACTTCCATTCTCCAACCTCATTTTGCCTTTGAATTCTTCCATCCTGTAACTCTCTTACCATTGTAAGCAGTTAGCCTTGCTCCACAGGACCAAGATTTTTAGTCTACAGTCTCAGATACAAGTACATACTCTACCTTCCACGGTTTCTGTTTTATCAAATGGGTGTTGGATGTATAAACTTTCAGGTACCAGAAAGCCATGTTTTCCTTTTCTCAACTGAACCTAACTACTATTCCACCCCCTACCCTTGACAAATTGCCTGTTGCTTCAAATATTTTCCATGCCTATCTGAGTAATCAATCTCAACAAGAGATGTGAAAAGTAGTTCTGCTTCCTCTGATTCTCCCAAATATACAACAGCCTGGTACTGAAGGAGAGCCCCGTGTGCTGGTTGTACACCCACATGCCTGAGTACCAAAAGTCTCCTGTTTCTAGCAGCAATTTATTATTTATCAAATTAATCAAATAAATTAGAAGTTGTTAGAGGCTTGCTCTACTTTATACCATAAATGTCTGTCCTCCTTACCAGGTGGACTGGCACAACCTGGCTGTCTAAAACACACTGTTCCAACCTTTTGGGAGTTTCCATATATCCCAAACAAGCATCCTTGTGGGAAAGGGAAGAAACATGCAATAAGAAAAGCAAATAATTAGAGAATAGTTAGGCTAAACTTAGCTCATTTAAGTAGTACTTGATATACACTTCCCTTTTGTGTACCAAGTGGTAAAAAATATGTATGTCTAATTTCCCTATTTAATCTATAAAAAAGGAAAGTTGCCTGCTCATCTTCCTGAAAGGAAGAGGTGAAGGAAAGAGCAATAGTGAAAACTACGCTAATTATTTTATTAAAACATCAAGGAAAAGAATCTCCAAGGGTATCTTATTTACAGTCGGTCAGCTTACCACCCCAGGAACTTCATAGGTTTCCTCTGATGTCCTGTTATGATCTACATGAAGTTCAAGCAGTGATGCATCAACATACAGGATAAACCAACAGGAAGGCAGGTTTTAAACTTTCTGAACAGCTTCAATCTATCCTCAGTCTGTCTGCTTATCCACGTAGACGCCTTCAGTAGCAAAAAATGCATTTCCCAAGCATAGGATGGAGTATAATAATTAATTCCCAGTTTGTGGGAGAAGGAGCTTGGTAGGTTTGTGAATTTATCTGCATGGGATGGAGAGGATTTCTAGTGAGGTGGTGCTTTCATCTTAAGAACTAATTGTGGAAATATTAAACATCGAGGAAGTCTATGGTGCGTTTAGCTTGGAAGGTGGTAAGATCTGAAGTGATCTCAGCTGGCAGTGAGTTTCTAGAATTTTTTGTGTATGAAATTCTGTATTGCTTTTCCAAGGTTGGATGGCCTTGTATTGTTTCAATGGTGGCATTTTGTGGCAAGTCAGGACCCCATAGGGAAGTCAAATGCTATGACCGCCAATTTCAGTCTCCAGGGTTATTTTAACCAGGGAACAGAGACTTGTTCTGTGTTTTGTAGGAACCACAGCAAAGGGCAGAGCACACTCATCAGTCCTTTTTGTTAAACAGAAGGTTTAAAGAATTTTGAGCCAGTCACTTCTAGTTATATGGAGCACGTCCTTTGCATCTGAAATAAAGCAAACACTGCTCTCAAACCATGAACTGCAGTCTGGCCATCTACACACATATTGAGCTGTCTTCCCCTTGCAAGTTTGTGCCAGGCTCTATCAAAAACCTTTCCCATGTTCTCAAAGATGGCACTCTCGCTGCCAGACCCTTCTCCAGCTTCATTATAGATATCAATTGCCTTGCTCCCCCCATGGAGATGTATCATGAACTGGTCAGTCCCACCTCTATCCACTATCTCCTAGAGGTTCCATGTCATCTTAGAAGTATTCTCTTTCATTCTGAAAGGTGGGTACAGTGGAGTATTTCTCAGGAAGAACAAATCTTGAAACAAGCTATGAGACAGTTTTAGAAGTATTTCTTCTTAGTTGTCACTGCAACATTATGAAGCTCCCTTGAAATATATTTTTTTCCATTAATGATAGCTGGCACGGGGAATTATGGTTGTCAGTAGAAAGGCAATAAATGTATCAAAGAAGGCTCTAAATATATTGTAACATGACCGAGGAAGGAGAAATATCCAGGCAGATGAGTAAAATAAAATATCATAATTCTCATATTATCATATTTTAGATCTGAATTATAATGAACTGGACCTGCAGGTTCTGCTAAACCCAATGGAGACATATTAATTTTCAACAGATATGGATACAGTGTGGGTTTTGTAGTATATAGTTTGGCAGTAAGTTATGCTTGGGCCACTCTCTACAAGAAAGACATTGAGGTGCTGTAGCGTGTCCAAAGAAGAGCAGTGGAGCTGGGGAAGGGTCTGGAGCAACAAGTCTGATGAAGAGCGACTGAGGAAGCTGCGGGTGTTTGGCCTGGAGAAAAGGCAGCTCTGTTACATGCTGTCTTCACTTCTGCTATAGCCTACCAACCGTGGTTATTGTACACTTTCACCCTAATCTGCTGGCCTTTCAATAATTGCATTCACTGTCTGGCTACTTGGAGCAGGGGGTAAGTTTAACACTGGGACACTCCGTTACAGCACGTGTGGTCAGCACAGCTGCAGTGTCAGCCACAGTGCCCATCAGGACAGCAGCATGACAGGACGGGAGCACAGAGCTGATGAAGATCTCCTGAGCGCAGCCCAAGGCTTTCCCTGTTGCCTTGTGGATCTTCTGGCCACACTCCAAGACTTTTCCTGTTGCCCTGTAGTGCTGAGTTATTTCCCCAAAGCTTCTTTCTTCCCACTTCCCTACTTCTAGTCATTTTCTATCAGGATGGAGAAGAGACACCCCAGCAAGCCCAGGGTGGCCTGGGAGGAGGCAGGTGCTGCCCAGGAAAGCAGCTCTCCATAAGAGCCTCATGAGGTGGCCTAGATGAAGGACAGGGCTCCCAAGGAAAGCAGTTCTCCAGCAGAAGTCCCCCAGGTGATCCTGGCAAAACCATCACAAACACAGATGGGTGAGTGACGGGCCCCGTGTGACTGGGCAGGGTTGGGGCGCTCCATCATATCCTGCAATGATACCACATCATGTTTCCCCGGCATGCTGTTAGCAGAGGTCCTAGGAGTGGATGTGATGCCTGGATGCTGAGGCTTCTAGGGCTGGACACCAGCCCCAGCACAACCTCTGCTAAGGAGGAGGGGGAGAGCAGAGAGGCCCCAGCTCCCACTCCAGGGTGTGAGCAGCAAAGCGCAGATGGCTGGCAGGAGGCAGTGATGCAGTGGGATGCTGGACCTTTCCTGTCTATCTGTCAGCACATTCCTCAGCCTAAGGCATCGGGGCTTTCCCTGCCACGATGTGCTCCAGTGTGACAGCTCCTCTGCTGGGCACCCTCCATCCAGGAGCCGCAAGGAAAGGCCATGCCAGGGGAGCAGGCGTAGGGCTGAGCAGAGGGCAGATCTTCTTCTGCTCTCTCCTGTCACCCGACCCTCTGCAGCCCTCCCTGCTCTGCCCCTCTGTTAGATGTCAGTTTGTTACCCCTGTACAGAGAACAACAGGAAGTTGTGGACTCCATCCAGGCTCTTGACAGCCTCAAAGAGGTAACCATGGCCAGTTGGATGGCAGCTGAACCATCATCTCTGGGAGGGGCTCTGCTGGTGGGGTGCTGGCTGGGCAGAGCTGCTGCTCCCCTACCTCAGGGCTCCAGTATCGCTGGCCATATTTCCCCCCTCTTATGCAACCTGTTTGTATCTCTGTCCCCTGGCTGCCAGAATCTGGGCCACAAGGCCACCTTTCTTCAGAAAATTGTGGATCTGTGCATAAGCACAGATAAGACATAAGCCACAGTCCGTGGCTCGTCACAGCACTTGGTCCACTTCTGCTGAAGATATGAGGTGGTAGAGAGGATCCTGTTGAGGGGACACTTGGTGCTCTGGGGAAGGGGGCAAGGCCCCCTGGTACTGGCATCCTATGAAGGCAGAGCTTGGGCAGGGCTAGGGTCTGGTGGCAGTGGGTGCTGGCAACTGCCAGGTCCCAGCTCAGTTGTAATCTGTGGATGCTGCTGGATGTCCAGTCCCATGAGATGAGACACATAGAAGTGCGGAGGCTCGACCTGTTTGCCATTGAACCCTTGAAGTACTCACCCATCCCTCCCAGGGACTCCTTCCCCAGAGGACAGCATCCCCTGCACAAGGCCTCGAGGCACTTCCCTGGTACCACTGTCCAATTGGACCCTTTCTTTTTGCAGCACAGTGGAAAAGGTGCTGGAGGGCAAAAAGAGAAGACCGCTAGAAGCCTGCTTCATAGCTGTTCTCTTCCTTCCTAAAGAAAACATGTCAATAAGGGGGGCACGGCAGCTCTGGGAGGAGGTAAGTGCTGGGTAAGCTGCAGGAGCCACTAGTCCCTCTGGGCTTCTCTCTGGCCATCCTGTGCTGTCCCATGACCAGAAGTCCAAGGCAGGTCAGGGGCTCAGCTTTGCTTTCCTGCCCTCATCCCTTCATCCCTTTCCCAGGGCCCAGCTGTATCCAGTGCTGCAGGCTGCTCTACCTGCAGTAGACTGCCTGCTCCTAAGTCTCTCCTGGGAAGCGCAGGTAGCTCTCCTCACCTGGCACTGGGAACTCAGATCGGTCTCCTGGGGGTGAAGAATCACTGCCACATCTCTTTGTCCTCCTTGCAGACCCTGGCAGCCATGGACTCCATGCTGACAGCAATAGTGCAGAACACTCCTCCCTCCAGAATGGGCAAAGAGCTGCAGAACAAGTTGCAGGTTTAGCCTGTCCAAACAGTGGGTGTCCCAGGGCTCTTCCGCACCCTGTGGGGGAAGGGTTGCCCACTCCTGAGTGGGCAGTCCCCAGACAAGTACCACAGAGGCAGAGTGCTGAGGTGACAGTGACCACCTCCTGTGTCACCAGGCTCTTCTGGAGCACCTACTTTCCTGCCTGGCCAAAAGCTTGGCCCAGGACCTTTGGCCCAGGACAGCAAGGGACCCCAGGGGCAGGAGCCCCACTACAGGTTTTGCCTGAGGTCAGAGGAGGCCTTGAGGGACAGTTCAAGTTCCACACAGGAGCGGAGCTGCGCTGCTGCTGGAGCAGGTGTCTGCTCCCGGGGCTCATGAGCAGATTCTCTTTGCTCAGGTGCTGGTGGACTTTACCAGATATCAGAGAATCGATGTGAAGGTTGCGGCCTTGGAGAGGATTTGTGTACTGAGAGAATGGATGGACAGCTATTCCTTTCCTCCTTCCTACCAGGAGAGCAGCGAGATGTGAGAGTTCTCAATCTACCTCTTCCGAGAACACCTGGAGTTAGCAGTGGTGAGGAACAAGAAGAGATGGAAGACCTGCATATGGAGTGCACTGGTCCCACTGCTCTTTCATATGGGTGACCAGTCCCCAGTGTGGCCAAGGTACAGGTTTCAAGGCTGAGCACTGACACAGGGAGGGCTGACCCTCCCTGTGGGGCCCAGGCGACATGGCAAGGGCTGCTGGCAGTGGGCAGACCTCCCTCAGCACAACCCATGGGAAAGGTCCCTGCAGAACCAGCATGAGCAGGGATGGAGAAGCTGGCACGGCCATTTCCAACACCTGCCCTAGGGCTCCAGTAGGGCTCAGCAGCAGCCTATGGCCACCAAAGCCTGAACTGGCACATCTCCACAGGCTTCTCTGCTGTCCCTGAAATGTGTCAGAGGCCAGGACTTCAAGCCTCAGTCCCTGTTCCTTGGGGCTGTCCCAAAGAGGCCCCCAGACACTTTGGCAAGGGCATGTCCCTGCTTCCTAAGGTCAGGATCACCCCAGGAACAAAGCCAAGAGGTGTCCTTTGCCAACCATGGTGCTATCTCACAGCTTGTGCTGCTATGCAGGCCACTGAAGAAGTGCTCCTTGCTGCTGCAGAGCTCCTCAAGTGGAGGTAGCTCAAAGACCTGATGCAGACACAGCAGACTTGGAGGATTGATGAGTGCTTGGTAGGAACAAGCCCCAGGGTGCAGGCTGGGTGAGGGTTGCCCTGTACCCAAAGCCTGGGGTGTGGGCTTTGCAGCTGGGCCTTTCCTGCCTTGCTGCAGCCCAGAGCCCACAACCTGGAGCTGCACCCCAGTTTCTGTCCTCCAAGAAGGGAGCCCCAAGGGCTCATCTCTAGGCCCCTCTCCCTTCCCTGCACCCAGTGGGAGAGAGGGCTCTGGGCAACACTGAGTGCTGGCAGGAGGGACTGTTGCAGCCAGCGGGGGGAGGCTCTGTGACTTGTACTCTCTCCAGCTGGGGAAGGACAGGAGCAGGGCTGAGGAATACCTGCGTCAGCGCCTGTTGTACCCCAAGGACCCTGAGGCCACTGTGCGAGAGGTGACCCTCAGGTTCATCAGTGAGCCCCAGCCCCTGGAGTCCCTCTTTCGGCAACCTGGCCCCCATCCCTGCTCCTGCACCAACATCGTGGCGCAGCCCTGGGGCTGCCCAAGCCCCAGCTGTCACATGCTGGGCCTCAACCTCCCTCCGCCACCCCTGCCCATGCAACTGGGCTTGATGGCCACCTTGCTCAGTTCTACCCCCCTGAGCTACTGGTGGTTCCTGGGGTCATCCCTGCTGAGGGGGAGGAGGGCAGGGCCAGGGGCCACGCTGCTGGGAGCCCGCTGGGGAGCAGAGGCTGATGGAGCTTTGTCCCTAGGGGTGGCCACGCGGCACCTGCAGGACCAAAGCACAGAGAAACTGGATGAGATCTGCAGTGGTGAGTGGGGAACATGGGCTGCAGGGGATGTCTGGGGGTCTCTGCAGACACAGGGGTTCATCTCAGCTCTGTTTCTTTTGGTCACAGCCCTTCAGCCCTTGAAGACTGTGGGCAACGATTTCATCTCTTACCTGGCAACTCAGGCCATCTTGATCCTGACAGCTTTAAATCTACAGCAAAACCCAAGATTCAATCTACAGGCACTGTTCTTTTGGTGCTACTGAGCCAGTTGGAGGATGGCTGTGATTTATTAACACTGGAACAATAGGCCCAAATCCATGATGTCCTTCAGATGCGCAGACTGTGTCCTGCTTGGCCTTACTGCTGCCTGCAGGACAACTTTCCCCTCAGCACACCCACAGCCCCAGGCTGTTTGAGAAGTTGACCCCTTACTGAGGCTTTACCCAGGAGAAACCTCATTTGTGTCTCCTCAGGGCAGTCCCCCCACCATGCAGTGAGGATAAGGCACAGAAACTGTGGGCTCCGCTCTGCCTTCCCATGGGTGTACAGGCATCCAACGACGCATCTGCTGTTACTGCATCACCACCTCCCCTCACCATAATGGGTTTGGAAGGGTTTCCAAGCAGAGTACTGTGGTGTTAAGGAGACCAGAGGGAAACCTCAGGGGTCCTAGAGGGACTGGAGGACAAACAAAGAGCCTCGGTTGCTGCCACCATGGGAGAAGATGGGCCTCCACTGCCATGTTGCTGCTGACAGGGGCAGCTGTCCCTACCCACAGGTCAGGGGCATGATGTTCCTTATAAATCCTTGTCAGGCTGAACAAAGACACTGGACACGTGTCTGGGAACTCTTATGTTTTACTGTACAGTCGCCATAAGTCTGGCAACCAGCCCACTATTTAGACTGAAAAGATGTTGGCTAACAAGCCCTTAATTTCATACAGTACGTCTCTAAGTTCTCAACTCCCAAAACAAACTCCTCAAAGGTGTTGGCACACAGGCCACTACACACAATCAAAGGTGCTGGCCAACAAACCACAACGCACCAATATTCATTTGTTCCCCCCCGAAAGGGAAGCCTTTTCACCACCTCGGTTGTAATATCTGGAACATGCAGGACTTGAGTGTATGTCAAGGGAAAGTACTAGGCTTAGGCATTTACCTGAATTGCAATTATTCTTTAAATCAGACATGAAAATCACTTACAAAAAGTGTAATAGTTCAGTAAACTACTGTGAGATTTAAAAAAAACCCATAAAATCTCAGAGGCTGGAGAATTTCTGAAACTGAATAAGCTTAGGAAAAAAAGAAATATTACCCCTCATCCATTCCTTTATTGTTTTAACAATGTGCCTAATAACAAAGTTTTGAGGTTTGGTTTCTTTTTTTGGTCTTTTTTTTTTTTTTTTTACTAGGTAAGCTTGAAAATATACAAAAATATGTTAGCATAATTTTCCTCATGAATTATTTTTGTGTTTGCCTATCTACTTCTTGGTCATTTTCTAAAAATAGTGTCCTTAACACTCCTTAAATTGTAGTTGAAAGTGAAAGTTGAAAGTGGTTGCAGTCGTCAAGCTACCACGAAAAAAGGGGACACAGGTGTCATATCCCCTTTTACACACCGAGGATGTTAGTATGAAAATTACTTAACCTCAAAAGAGGGCTTCAGTGACTTCAGGTGAGTCCCGAGTCATGGGAATGTGCAATGGGGACATTGTCCTTGCTATTTGCTGGTCATAACTCTGAGCAGCTCTCCATCTACACTTCTAGATATTCATTTCTTTCTTCCAGAGGCAATTGTTTCTCTCCATTGACTGTCTAAAGAACCTAAGCATCTGTCTGAGGTGCTCTGGTTGATTGTGTTGGAATTAGTCATCTATGTTTTAGGTACTCTGGTTCTTGACTTCAAAATGAGAAACGGCAGTGTTGTTATAAGTATTTCAACACAGAATTCTGTATACAAAGGACATGAGTAATAAAAGAGAAGACCCGTATTCAGAATTAAAACACTCCATGCTAATCTGTTTCACAGATCTAATCCCTTTCTCTTGGAAGTATGTGGAACATTATTAGTCTTCAAAATTAAAAATACATCAGTGAATAACTTTGAACTTACTAAAAACTATTCTTAAATAATCTGTAAACAAAATCAATTCATATAATAAATATTATGACAATGGACTTTTTAAAAAACCTCATTAAGCAGTTGCACTTGGTGAGTTAATCATTTCCTTGCTCACAAATAGCCACACACTACTATGCATTGTACATGAAATCTATTTCTCTTGCAGCAACCTGATATGAATGTCTATATTGTTTGGTTCGTGATAAATTTTCTCAGCGTTACGATTGAGGAAATATTTAGGTTTTTATTTAACTTTTGTTTTGAAAATTTCTGACAATTTTGTTTTGAATCACCATTAAAAAAAAAATCATAAAAAATAACTTTGTAAAACAAATTCGGTTCATGCCAAATGAACTCAACGCGGAAAAAATTGTTTCACCACAGTCTGAAACTTCTTGCTATTAATAATTTTATTATTATCAAAATTTTGTTTAAATTAAGTAGGCAAAGCACTGCCATTCTGAAAATTGAATGGTTTATTTTCAGTTCACAGGTTTTATTTTGGAATTTTAAACCAAAACAGTTCCATAAAAGCTATACACATTTTTCCAGTGTTTCAACAATCCAGTCCTCCAGTTTTAATGGCAAAATTTTACCCTGTTTATTTTAACTGAGCTTTATTTAAGCTGCAATGCAGTACTCTCACTAAGAATTGAGGTAGGCACTAAGATTGACAGTAAGATGATGCTAAGGACAAAAATACAGATATATGTACTTGATTGACTGTTTCAGGTTGTCAATCAGATTACTCAGCATGACACCATTATTCCACATCATGTACCAGAGATGTTAAAGATCACACTGAGTCTATTCTGGCATTCATAAAACTGATATGCTGTAAAGAGCCAACATAGTATGGATTTATAAATGAGTATCTTTCAGGCACTACAGCTAACAAATATGTTCAGTATTCATCAAATCTGTAAATTCATGAAAGCCTGGAATTCATTGAAAGTCAAACACAAAACTCAACTTCTATTCTCTAAACAAGTATATCTATTCAGACTACACTGAAATTACAGCCAGTTTGGCATCTTACAGACAAACGGTTTTTTTAAAAAAAAAACAATCAACATCTTTGATCAGTTTGTAGACTCAGAATTGTTTTACGAGTCTTTGTTTGGCCAATACATGAGAGGAAAAATGTGGAACATTTAAAAAAGGATCGAAATGCCTGATTTATCTAGGAGTCTACCATACAAAATATAGCTAAACTTAAAAGATTTTCTCTCAAAGAAACTATTTTCCCACTGGTTTGAAGGTGAATTGTAAGTTTAAGCTTCCAAAATTCTCTTTTTCTCATTTAGTAGAAACTAAACCATTAGTAGCTCTTTGGCTATACATGTCTAACGTTGACCACCACCGTGATGACTCTGAGGAGATGCAGATATGATGCTACAGAAGCAATTTGTGTTGTGATGAAAGAGAGTGATGACAGAGACTGGTTTAAGAAAGAACATAGAGAAGCTGTTTAGGCAAAGAATGTAATTCCAACCGGGAATTTCTCGTAGAGAGAAGACTTGTGTCCAATGAAGTCTTTGTAAATTCACTGTAAGAGAAACTGATACTGAACAAATTAAAAAAGAAATAGTGGTCATTTTTTAGCAGTACTGGTGATGAACAAATATATACCTTAATAAGGAGGCAATGATTTCTTCTCAACTCAAAGTTTTCAAATAAAGGTCTTCCTTTCTGCAAGACTTGCTTTTATCAAGAGATGTAAAGGAAATCAAATACTACAAGGAAATCAGACTACTAGATCAATAGTTTTATCTCCTGATAGACTCTTAAGAAGTCAACGGCCAGATTTTCAGTAACATTGCATGTGGAAAAATTTTACATTATTTGTGTTATTTGGTTTAAAACTATATGTTTTAAAACTGAGGTTTCACCAGACGCGAACCTCTTTAATACACACCTTTTATAAATTTTTTCCCCAAAGACAGAATACTCCTTGGTCTCACTTGAGGCCTTGTAGGAATCTTGTGCTGGGAACAATTTCTTTGCTAGGGTGAATGCATAAAAGCCCTACTGCAGTCTACTATGTGGGAACCCCAAAACATATGTAGAGCTTGAAAAACCCCAAATGGGATTTTCATGATCTTATCATTATCACACTTGCAAAACAGATGTACAGTTTGATCTGATTACTGGGTTTCAATTTGCAATAACACCATGCAAACTTTTCCTGTGTACATAGCACTAAATATTGCAGAAAAAAAAGGCATAAGAAAAGATCAAACTTTGGTGCTTTGAGTCTACAAGTAAGACTTTGTTTCACTTGCATTTTTAAGAAGTTTTTCAGTTCGTTTGACACCAGACCTCAATGCAAGAGACCAGAGTATTGAATTGCTGGAGTCCACATGCTTTTTCATTGGAAAATGTCACCAGTCATTTCTTTAAAAGTCCGGCAAACTGCTACAAGATACCATGATCAACATTGGCCTGTGTGGAATCTTTCAGGGCTCAGGTAGTATGTAGATAGTCAATGTTTATACATACAAACCCTCAGAATAAGGGGTGCTAGAAATCCTTGAACCAAAAGGAGTTTGCAGTGACTTAATAATCATTTAAGTGCATTGTTCAAATTAATAACTTGAAGCTTAAAAAATTACAAGTCTTCATTTTCTCCTTCTGGGGGAGAAAATATTTTAAGATTTAAGCACATATAAATACTGGATAAAAAAACCTGTTGTTCTTATTAATCTGCACAGATGTTCTTAGTTCTTGCAATTCTAGTCTTCCAATTACTAATCCCCTGTAACTACAAAAACTCACGGAAAAGAAGAGCCTGGACCCTTGTGAATTCCATTCTTTCCTCTAAGCCAATCAATTATTCCCATGTCCAGCTTTGACACAATAGGAACTGAAAACACATTGTTTATGCTAATCAAAATTACCCCCAATTATAACCTTCCTTTACCATACCTATCGTTCTGGGTGCTGTGCAGCTCACATCAGAGCATTGCATAATTTCTCATTTGACCTAGAAGCTGGGAGGTTGCAGAGACTCAGTGTATCTGCCTTTTTCTCACTTTCTTCAATAATTTCAATAACTTTTTGCATGGGCATTGCTAGCAGGAGGCCACTGCACACTGGACACTTGGCATGACCTAGAACAGACATAGAATCATAGAATAATTTAGCTTGGAAAAGACTTCTAAAATCATTGATTCCAACTACTAACTTAACATTGCCAAGTCCATCACTAAACCATCTTTCTATTCATCTACTAATCATCTATTAGTAAACCCCAAAACTGAATTACATGCAATCCTGCAAAGAGCTGTGAATCAATTAATTTCACATTTAAGAGGAGGGTGGGGGAGAGTTGCAAAATTCTGAATATTTGAAAATGTATGCGACCAGAATAAGTCATACAGATGGAGAGAATGCAAAACACAGTGATTTAGAAACTCTTGTGGTCATGAAAGACCACCATTGTATTTGTGCATGACCTACAAGCTCCAGAGGCCATGTGTGAAATGAAACACGCAAGATGTTACTTTAAAGAGCAACACACTTTGCAGGTTTGACAGCTCCAGCTGAATGCTAAAATCTGTGACCACTTGTTGATAATTCGTAGTACAGTTTTTCAAAGAAAGCAGGAAACGGAGGCTTACTGCAGGGAAAAAAAAAAAAAAAGAAGAAGAAAAGAGAAAGAAAAAGTTGACTCTTACTTGAAAGCAGTCTCTATATATAACGTTCCAGAAAACATTAACTGAACCACTTACTTTAATCATATTCATTCTTAAATTAATTGTAATGTAGAGTCTCTTGAAAGAAAGAGAAGCATGGAAATAAATACAGGGCTGGAAGTCAAAACATTTATGCTCTCATTCTAACTCATTCTTCATGTTTTCTAATGATGTTGAGGAAGTAATTTAAGAAATTCTATTTCTCTGTCTGCAAACTGGGCATAAAAATATTTTCCTCTTCTACTCACAGCAGTGCTTTGAGGCTTCAGGATATCCTTAGAAAAAACTTTACTGGTACTGGTGGGATTCCATGGGACGAAATTGTTCAAGGGTGGAGCACAAGCATTAAGAAATTGAAATGTGTGGTTGGTCACACCTGTGCTGGAAGTCAGAAACCATGGAAAACAGTCCCTGCACTGTAGTGCCAATGAGAACAAAGACAAGCTGCTAACAGCAAAATAGGGCTGTATCAGCCCCCACCCTCCCCACACTCCGCCCTTCCCCAGCTGGTCTTGCACTGTCCAGGCTGGGAATATAAGGAACTAAAAGATAGCTGTGGAGCCATCACATTCAGTCTGTA